GCGTCGGCACGGCACGCTGCCTCTGCCGTTTCCGAGCCAGTCTTCTCCCGTCAGCGAGGTTTCTGCCTCTCTCCGCTGCTGTTTCCCCCGGGGTGGCCTCCTCAGCCCCTTGAACGCTCGAAATTATCCTTTCTTTGTTGGTGCATGTTGATTGTCTTGTTACTTTCTGGGAACTCATGGGATGCTGGTTGTGTAACGCTTTTTTTGATTGCAGCAATTAAAAAAAGTTTGGCCTGTTAAACCCTTACCAGTCAATGTCACAAAAATCTGTCTGTGGTGTTATTACTGTGTTCACAGGTAAGGCAAACTGCCCTTACTATGCCAAAGCTGAACTCCTGGCTGACTATCTCCAGGCTAACTTGCCAGACTTTAGGGTTCACAAGATCACTCAGCACCCTGACAAATGGGAGGTAAGGGATTGTATGTCAAGTCATTGGTAGATGCCCCAGTGCACTACAAAGCAACAAATGTGCTTATTTGTAGTATGTGCCTTCTTCTGTGGGTAGCGGTGCTGCAGAAGCAGCTTTGGCTACAAGAGCCAGCCAGAGGTAGGTGCTGGTCTCTTCCCACAGGAAATTAATGATAGAACAAGAGGGAACGGACTCAAGCTGCACCAGAGTAGGTTTAGTCTTGAGATTAGGAAAATGTTTTTCACTGAAAAGGTTGTCAGACATTGGAATAGGCTGCCCAGGGAGGTGGTTGAGTCACCATCCCTTAATGTGTTTAAAGGTTGTTTAGATGTGGTCTTGGAGATATGGTTTAGAGGTGTACTTGGTAGAGTAGGGTTGATGGTTGGACTTGATGATCTCAAAGGTCTTTTCCAACCTGAATGATTCCATGATTCTGTTCTATGAAAGGTTTGAATATTGTGAGCCCGGCATTCTTGTGCATCTTACCACAGAAGATGGGCACAAAATGTGGGCCAGCCTAAAGCTGTGTTTTGTCAGTAAGAACTTTGTTATTTTTTCATTATGTATAAATGGCTGCTCAGCCTGTAAATCTTTTGCGCACTGTTCTTGCATATGCCTTCAGAGTTGTTACTTGTCAAGAGCATTTCTGGCATTCAAGGGCCTTGAATTACAATGGAAGTATGAAATTGAATTTCACATTTTTTTACACTGTGCGTGGGCCTTTCTGGGTGCTTTTGCTGTAAACATATTGCCCTGTCTACGCTGTAGTCCCTGTAAGGAACTGAAAAAAATGCAGTATTATGTTGTGAGATGCTTGACACCTCAGCCAAGTAACTTTAACAGTTGAGTGAATACCAATTAACCTCTGCGGCTCACTTACCTTCTGCGGCTAATCAGGAATCCTTAGATTACTTGCCGTTTCACAATACTGGTGTCTTCAATACCGCAGAGACAACTGTGCAAAATTACAGCAGTAAAATTAAGCAGAAGTAAGACCTTTTGCTGAAGTATCACAGTGTATCACCATGTCTTGCTTTGTGTTATTCCCCCATTGTGCGCACACTGGTACCTGAGTAAGTTTTGAAGCACCTTGTAATTCTATATTGAGAGGAAACAATAAGAATGTTTATAGCTGTAACATTTAAGTGTTATCAAATGTGAAAAAGTATTAAAACCTTTTGGCGGGGATGTTTACATTAGCAGTGGCTTGATGACATTTGTGAAAAGAATGGATGGGAACACAGACAGTCTCCTATCATTTGGAGAGAACTGTTGGACCGTGGAGGGAAGGGTCTGCTTCTGGGAGGAGTTGATGATTTTCTGGAGTATGCTCAGGTAACGAGCTGCCTTTAATACTCTAAACCCACATTTTACACTTTCTTCTAACTTTGTTGTTCTTTATTGATGAGTGGATTGAGAGCAGCCCTGCAGAAAAGGACTTGGAGTTGCTGGTGGATGAAAAGCTGAATATGAGCCAGCAACGTGCACTCGCAGCCCAGAAAGCAAATCGCATCCTGGGCTGCATCAAGAGAAATGTGGCCAGCAGGTCGGGGGAGGTGATTCTCCCTGCTCTGGTGAGACCCCACCTGGAGTACTGTGTCCAGCTCTGGGGCCCTCAGCACAAGAAGAGGGCCACAAAGATGATCAGGGGGCTGGAGCCCCTCCCCTGTGAGGACAGGCTGAGAGAGTTGGGGCTGTTCAGCCTGGAGAAGAGAAGGCTCCAGGGAGACCCTGTAGCGGCCTTCCAGTACTTAAAGGCGGCCTGCAGGAAAGGTGGGGAGGGACTCTCTATCAGGAAATGTAGTGATAGGACGAGGGGTAATGGTTGCAAACTGAGAGGGTCAATTTAGATTAGGTATTAGGAAGAAGTTCTTCACTACAAGGGTGGTGAGACACTGGAACAGGTCACCCAGGGAAGCTGTGGGTAACCGCTCCCTGGCAGTGTTCAAGGCCAGGTTGGATGGGGCTTTGAGCAACCTGGTCTGGTGGAAGGTGTCCCTGCCCATGGCAGGCCGGTTGGACTGTATGATCTTTAGAGGTCCCTTCCAACCCGAACCATTCTATGATTCCTCCTTCAAATGTAAAATAGAGCTATCCTTTCTAATGTTACCTTGCTGTGTTTGGGTTGTCATTTGATTAGAGATCATCCTTTTTTGTTCTTAGCGCTATTATGGCATCACATCAATGATGTTGAGTGAGGATATGTTAGACATTGCTGAGGAGAACCTGCAGGTGCATATTGAAACTGAAAAAGAGGAGGAAGAGATTAAAAGTCTCATCAAGCCTTTGCAGATCTGGATCACCAGGTGAGAGTAAAAAGAATATGAAGTTTCACTCAGCTTCAGAAGAATGCACTTTTCTTGTCATGTGTAACAGGTATAACTATGTGAAGTTATATGTAATTTGCTGATTTGAATTAGGTTCTGCGCCCCTCACTATGAGCATTCAGTATATAATTTGAAAATTATTTCTGCTTTTGTTACATTTTGCACGACTTTAAGTGTGGGTTGTGAACAGGCAACATTTAGACCCCAGATCACCTTAGGGAAAAGCAAGTATTTACAAAATAAGCTAGGAATTTTTTAGTGCAACTATCTTGCATTAAATGTTTTTGGAAATATTTAAATAAGTAAAAGCAGTTCTAGCTTTAGAAATTTCTGTATTTCTGGTAGGCCTAACAGAGCACCTTAAAAAAATTCTGGTTCTTTAAAGACACCAATTTTTAAGTGACAGTATTGATTGAAATGTATAAGATGGAAAAACCTTCAAATGAAAGGAGTACCCAACTTCTAAAATTTTTAACCTGTTAAAATGACAGAAAGAGCAATAAAGGATCCAAGCTAATGGCCTATTTAAACATAATCAAATACAAAAGAAAGATCTTTGTGTTTATTTATGTGATACTTCCAAACAAGCAGTGGTTAGTCATTAACTATAATTTTTCTATATCCTTATCAGTGCATCAGCTCCAATCTGTTATCAGCTGATCCCTCTGTTGGCAAATGGAGAAGTGTTTGGGATGACCACAGAAATCAGTATCCATTTGCTTGACACCAAACAATTTAAGGAAGTTCTTTGTGGTATTGTAATGGAAGCTGAAGACATGGCGTTCCCACTCCTCCGCAGTATTTCAGAGCACACCGAAATAGATGAGGCTTTTATTCAAGCTGATGTTATCATTGTTCTTGATGATGTCCTCTTAAACTGTGAAGTCCAATCCCTTGAGAACTACATAAGAGAAGTGTGTAAGATCTGTCAAGTGTATGCTCCCCTGATTGAGAAGAATGCCAAGAGTGAGGTCAGAGTAATTTCATCAGGAAAAACTTTTGTAAACCTTAAGGCGATGATGATTATGACATATGGCCCGTCCATTAAGCCTGAAAATGTCATTGCCATTGCGACACCCTGGGAAAGTGCAGCTAAAGCCATGCTGGCCAGGAAGCTGAATATGAATGCAGCAGGTGAGTATTTACTGGTTCTGGTAGCATTTGGGGAATTCAGTGAGTGGATGACTTTGAGAGTAAGTATTTCATTGCAGAACACAGTTGATGTGCATGCAGAAATGCAAGCAGAGCAGTGCACCCACTGAGTTGCATGGCTGTCCAGAATGCCAGGGTGTGACTAGCAGGTGCTACGGTTCTCTGTGCTTACCGCTGTCTGGGCCTGTGCCTGATCTCATGAACGTCAATTCTTCTGCTAACTCTTGGAGGCAGCTCTGCCATTCTGGTGTGTATTTCATGCTGGAAATATACTAAGAAGAACTGAGCTTCTGAGTGTTGAGGATCAGCAACCAGGACTTCAAGATTGCATTTGCACTCTGCAGCACTTTGTTATTTTGGAGGCACACAAGCTAGCTGTGAATAAACATGACAACGTACTGCTGTGCAGATAGTTTAGTAGAACTGTGTTGCAGTATTGTTTCTGGGTTAATTAGCTTTCTTTCTCAGGTCAATTATTATGACTTGGTTGTATTTGCACTGTACTGCACTGCACAGCAAAGGTGTGCTCCAATAGCCTGCTCAGCATCAGGATTCTTTCGCTGTTGCGGCGGTAGGAACTGGTCATCAATGACAAGCCTAGATATTTTGGAGCCTAGTAAAACAGAAAAGTAAGGTAGTAGGCTGAATAGCCTATCAGAAGGTTATTTGAGAAGTTCATTTTGCACCAAAGCAGGTAGATTTATTTCTTTTAATAATTTTTTACCATTAGGCAATCTGTGTTTGCATGTACAGGATTTTAAAAGGAACATTGCTGTATGTTTGCAATGTGATTCGTTTTGGTTTTTAACATCGAAGTATTTAATAGGTTTTGCCTATTATGTACAATAACATGATCTAAATTAAAGCTCCTTTTTCAGCCTGTGATGAGGTTTCGTATGTTATGGAGAACCTTGTTGTGTTTTTCACATCAAATCATTTCTCCTATCAAGGCAGGACACTGATCTGAAGAATAATTCACCTTGAAAGGGACTTCTGAATGTCATCTAGTCCAGCCTACATTGTGAAAATATTTGTCTGTCTCTTCACTAATCCATGTGTTTCCCTCTGTTACAGGAGTTAAAGATGTGATTGTTTGGGGCAATATTACTGGCCGTAACTGCATTGATTTGTCACATGCAAAACTTTATGGGTATGACTGTGCTATTTGGGGCCCAGCTAATTTTTCTCGTCCTTTGTTGAATATGGTTTATGATAGGTACGGTACACATTTATTTTTAAAAGTAAAACTAAATAACTGCTTTTAGTCTGTGTTTACCTGAACTGTGTAATAAACATCAAGATAGGTTTTTGTTTTCAAGATTTGTCTTTGCTGACTAGGGCTGAACATAAAAGAAAACTCAAGTTAAAGCACTCAGTCTGCAAAAGAAGTTGAGTAGTTCCTAGTGATATACGTAGTTCTGACTCTTGTGCCAACTTTGTTTATAACTATGGTTTCCCACATATTAAGTGTATTTCTCTTGTCATATCATGAGCAGCCTATAAGAAGTAATGAAAGTCCAGATGGTGACTCAGATGTCTAGTGTGCACGGAGAAACTTTGAAATAATGCTAAACATATATCTGCATCTTGAAGAACCTGAATTCCATTCAACATGTGTCCTCAGCACACTAGTGTCAGTTTCCCAAAATAGACAGTTTGTTAACATATGTAAAAAGGATACCTGGCAGCTAGATAGCTTCTTGTGGAGAGAGAAGTAGCAGAGAAAGTGCGGGTGCAGTGAGAGGGCAGCAGAGGTGACATACACTCAGGCCTGGCTATATGGAGCTCCCACTCTGGTCTAAACCTAGCATTTACTGCACATCAAACATTTCTTTTGTTCTATACTTGTATGGTGCCTAGCACAGGGAGATTATGGTTCTTGGCTAGGTTCTTACCTAAGACGGTAATACATAATAATAATAATAATAATGATAGAGGTTGTGACTTGAGTAAATGACCTATATTTTACAGATAAGCAGTGCTTGTTGTTACCTTTTGAGCCACTTCTTGTTAGATCCTATTTTTCCTGTCTTTAAGTGCCTCACCTTCAGCAGTGAAGTTTGAATAAGTTTTGACTGTTTTCTTCCCTTAGGTTTAGTTCTTTTTTCCTCTAGAAAACTACTGTTCCTGCAGTCATCTTAGTTTTTTCCTCCTTCCCTCTCCCCCCCCTTTTTTTTTGTTGGTAGTGAATGGATCCATTCAGAATTTCTGTCTGCACAGAGTTCACTGGGTTCCCGGGTCTGTCATTGTGTAGGAATGTTACCTGCTCATGCAGTAGCCACTGTACTGAGATACTGGTACCATGGCTCTCCTCCTGGGGAAATTGTTTCTGTGGGAATACTTACTAAAGGTAAATCTACTTTCGCTTCACATATTTTCTTGTAGCTTTCCCCAGTATGTATAATGTTATTTTTTAATTAAGATTTTTTATCTAATGAAAACTTGTAAAATAAATCATGATGTAATGGGAGGCTGAGAGTTTGTTTCAGCATGAAAAACTCCAGATCTAAGCAATCTTTCTCTTGTGATTTGACACTCACTTCTTACAAGCATTTCTTAGGTTAATATTGTCTTGTTGCAGATTGTCTCTTAGTCTTTTAGTATAAATGCTGTTGTGGTGTATATGTTTTGTGCAAGGACTTTTTATAGTTCTTAGAGCCTTAAGCTATGAAAGCATGTTCTTCTTGTGTAGTTATGTGGACCAATAAATGGAATGTTTCACAACAGTAATTTAACCATTGTATGAAAAAAAAAAAAAAAATTTCCCCTTTTTAAGATGTAAAATTGTTACAGCACAGGAAAGACATGGACCTGTTGGAGTGGGTCCAGGGGAGAGCCTCAAAAATGATCAGGGGGCTGGAACGCCTCTACTGTGAAGACAGGCTGAGAGAGTTGGGGTTGTTCAGCCTGGAGAAAGAGATGTCTCCAGGGAGACCTTATAGTGGCCTTCCAGTACTTAGAGGGGGCCTGCAGGAACGATGGGGACAAACTTTTTAGTAGGGCCTGTTGCGATAGGACAAGGGCACAATGATTTTAATCTAAAAGCGGGTAGATTCAGACTAGATATAAGGAAGACATTTTTTACAAGGAGGGTGGTGAAATGCTGGCACAGGCTGCCCAGAGAGGTGGTGGATGCCCCACCCCTGGAAACGTTCAAGGTCGGGTTGGACAGGGCTCTGAGCAACCTGATCTGACTGAAGATGTCCCTGCTCATTGCAGTGGAGTTGGACTAGATGGCCTTTAAAAGCCCCTTCCAATCCAAACCATTCTATGATTCTATGATTCACATACATCTAACTGAAATACAAAGGTACAGTAAAAGGGGAACTCTTTAGTCTTTGAACTGTACACTGAAAAAGGCAGTCTCCAGTTACACTGAGATTTTACAGTTGCAGACTTTTGCAAGTCTGTAGGACTTAATCTTGACACTGGTAAGGATGTGGTTTTTAATCAGAATATGTTGGGTCACTTTTTCCCTCTGTTTCAGGTCAATTTTGCATTCCTGAAGGAATTGTCTTCTCTATGCCAGTGAGGTTCCAGAATGGTAACTGGGAAGTCATGACAGAATTAGAAATTAATGAAACAACCCAAGAAGTTCTGGGACGCTTAGCCCATGAGCTGATTCAGGTGATGATTTCTTGTATCCAATAGTATGCCCATTCTGCCACCTATGGGTACGTTGCAATGTAACTTTGAATACTAGGACATTTACTCCAAATGTTAGACATACGAACTGCACACATGCACTTATGCATGATAAATACCAGGTATTTATAAGTGTAAGGTAGTATTTGTATATTGAAATGAACAGATGACTGTTCTGTTGTCCAAAAAGGAGATGATAAAATACATTTAACTATGTAAGTGTAGAATTTGCACCCCGAGTTCTGCAGGCTTTGTGCAAAACAGAAATACTAGCTTTAGTTTAATGCTTCCATGTTCTATGCTGCTGATGTTGATTTTGCTTCTGTGGTATTCAGAGTAGTTCTATGCCAGGAAATGTATCTTTTGGGAGCCTTATGGCTGTGACTCTGCATGAATGAAGGCCAGATTTTACTAGAGTTAGGGATTTTTCAGAAAATACAAAATCAATGACAAATAATTTCATCATGAACTTCTGGTCATTTAGTGAGACAAAAAGAATTTAATTTGACTAATTATTAAAATACTAAAAAGACTGGTCCCAAACTCTACATTCTAGCTTCAATCAGATTTTGTGATCTTCAGTCATACTAGTAAAATGTAAGGATTGTTTTATTTTAACATATTTCAAGTTTGTGCTAAAAATTACAGTGGATGAAAAGAATGGGCGATATTAAAACTCTTTTTTTTTTCCCATTCAGGAAAAGCTTATTGCACTAAAGGAAGTAAAAGAAGTGCATCCGTATGGAAGTGATAAAATCACTAGTGAAAAATATTTGCGTCAAGGTGGGTTTTTCTCTCCATAAAAGATGAGATCAAGTTTTAAGTGAGAATTTAAGTAATGGATTCTTATTTTGTGTCCCTTTTGTTTAAAATGGGTATAAAATTCTTCAGGAAGGATAAATTTCAAGTGCTTGTCCAATGTATCCTGACCATGCCTGGGGCATGGTGATTGGAAGGGCAAGCCTGCATGGTAGCAACCTTGTTTTGATAAGTTTCTATTGTGTCATTCACAGATCATGAATATAAAAGCTGAGCATAAATAATACTTTTAACATGACACATTTTATCTTAGGTTATTAGTAAATATAAAAGCTTTTTAACCCAAGTAATTATTATTAGAAAAGCACTTTCACCATACATCCTACTATGTGTTTTTGTAGTTGTTCTTTACTATACTTTACTATTACAGTAAAAAATACTGTAAATTGGAACTCAAACTTGTCATTTGTCTGTTTGCTGCAGTACCAAACAGTTCATTCAGTATCTTTAGTCCATAAGCCAGTCAGAAGAAGATGAGGGTGAGACACCGAAAGAAAATAGGCTGAAAAAAGAAAGAGATACTCCTACTTTCTATAGAGAAGGCAGTCTTGGTAAGTGGCAGCCATATCTGCCACTTCTTCCAGTTACAATAGATGAAAGATCTTTTAGAAAGCGCTACATTATAAATTTTTAAGCTATTTCACTTTGTTTGTTAATGGCACACCAAGTTTATCATAACAGTTTTTTTAAAATGCATAATGATATGAGAAGTTTCAACTAAAAATCTATAGAACAACTCCAATATCCCTCCCTTATATTTAGGAGCATGTGGGAAGGCTATAGACTACATGATACTGCCATGGCAAAACTCTCCTGAATCCACAGTCTGCTTTTCCCATGCAGAATAAAAAACTCCTGTCTTCTCCCAAGTCTTTCCATGATGCTTTTCCTACCTATTTTGCTTTTCAAGTTCTCTGTAGTCTTAAGATCATACAAAGGAAAGAAAAATCATTCATCGAAATAAGAACAGATGAACTCTGAAGTGTATTTTATTTTTGTTCTCTCACTTTTTCCTGTTCTCAGGTTCTGAAATCCCTGCACTTTCCCAATGTTCTAGCCATTTCTGTCTACTTTTAGGGCCTACAGGCCTTTTCTCTAGTTTGTTTTCTTTCTCCCGCCCTTCAAATTCTTTCCAGTATTTTTATGTCAGCACTTACCATACTATGAGCTGTTCTTCTGTATTAAGGTCAGGCTGAAGAATGGGAAAAGCTATATTCTATATTTGGAGCTTGATGTTCAGAGCCTTTAGTGAGCACATAAGCCTTTTGGTTATCCATGCTTGTTTCTCAGGAAAGGACTACAGACACAATATGATTTTCTTGATAAATGCAGAGTTTAATTATTCCACTAATCATGACTTTGATTAAACCAGACAGGAGATTCCCAATTAAATAGGTATGTGATTCCCTGTCTGCTCTCTACTTGTATGGCACTGCTTTTCTTTAGAGCTGTCCCATTCCTCTTGTGGCTGCTTTAAACACTAAGCAGAAACACTAAGCAGAGGGCCTTTCCACTGCTAGCAGCTAACTGCTTAGTTGTGGCGTGCTCTTGTGACATTAGTATCAAGTGCTGTACTATTCAAGTATTACTGAAGTGCCCTGCTTATCTCCTTGCATGTGTAAGTATTTTAGGAGGTTGGCAAAAATACATACTGTTTTTGCTTCTTTTACAGAGATGGAAACCTTGCCTGCTGGCTCACTTTAGCCAGAGTTGTCTGGAGAAGAAAGTGCTGAAAATTCACATACTAAAACAATGTTTCCGTTGCTCAAAAAAACAAGCTACAAAGAAGGGCTAAACATTGTCATAGCTTTTACAGTATCTTCTTAATCAAAAACCTGGAAATCTGAAGGCAGAAAAATATTTCAAAAACAATGTGAATATAACATTTTTAATCCAGAGACCAAAGCAAAATTCCTACTGACTTTAATGAGTCTAGGATTTAATTTAACTTCAACAACTTATTTCTTCAGACCAATAAACTGTTTCAAAAATATTGTTTAATGTCTACAATTTTCATATTATGACAATTTTGAGTAAGATTGTCACACCGAGAGTAGCAGTTTTGTAACTCCAAATTCTTGTTTAAGGTGTAATGAAACACAATACTTGTGTAAGAATATATATTCTCAGGCAAAATTGATTTTTAACACAAAAATGTAAGTGCATACATCTCCATAGTGACAAGATCATCTTTGTCTCCATCTTTTTTGTTTATTTGGTGAGTTTCATAGGGACTACTCATATTTTTTAAGTCAAACATGCGTTTAATTAAGTCCTTGTCTAAACAGGATTGTTGAGGAACCACTTTCACTTGTGTGGTTTTGGTGTCTTAAAAGATGGAGACTGTGTTGAATGAAATACTATTGTACTTGCTAATTTTTTATCAGTTGTGTTTAAAGCAAAATAAAAAGTTTCCTGTTCTTTGAATCAGATATATAGGTGGAATAAATTAATTATTTCTGTTTGAGTGGAGGTTCAAACTCTGAACAGGGGTAGACTTCTTCCTACATGAGGAAACCAAGAGGAGTTTATTTGCTATTTATCAGCTGATGTGGACAGAATGAGGTGAGGTGTCTCACTGGTCTTAGAAAGAGGAACTCAGAAAGCTGAGGTATCACAAGAGAGTTGGAAGAATGCAGTTTCTTATGTGAAATGTGTATGGGAGAAGCAGCGTTTACAGGAACTGAGATATTGTTACAAGTATCTTCTTGGAAGAGTTCACAGGGGAGTTGTAGAGGCAGGTGTAAAAAGTCTTGAAGAAAGTGGTTAGAATCATTCATTTCATGAGGAAGCGGTCTCCAGGGAATTAGTTTCTAGTAGTGTATGCACAGAAAATGGACTGAGTCTCTGAGGAGCATCTGGAGGCAGATTTCTCATGAGAGCATAACAGGGATGGATGCTACCAGGGATGGATGCTACCAGCAGTCTTTTCAAAGTACTGGTTTGTTCCTTAGCTCCTTCTCCAAGACAGAAAAAGAAAACTCAGCTTCTCTAACATGTATTTACATGTGGGTTTTTTTATGTATGTAATATGATTTGGCAGTCTTTTACTCTCTGAATTCTTTTATTCTACCTGTGGAGTTAGTAGTTCAAACAGACTGCAGTTCAAACACCAACACTGCACATCTGTTAATGAGAAGGAAATGAACTGTTTCTGCAATATATAAGCAAGCCTACCAGACTTCTGGGTCACTATCTGAAAACCACAGGCAAAGAATTTCTTCTCAGAGGCTGGGAGGAGAAAGACAAAACAAATGTCTTGGATGTCTCTTGTATCCTAATTATTCTAATTAGATTTACCTAGTGGCCTGCAGAGAAATTCAGGTCTTTCCTCATGAAGCATATAGAACAAAAAAGTTTATTTTCCTGGCTTTGCTTAGGAGAGAAAGAAAGAATAAAAATAATAGGAAAGCTAAAACACGGTAACGTATTCAAAGTCGGTTACAGTTGCAGCACAATGATTGACTTAGTCATCACTACGTTTGGGTTTTCTGTAAGTAATAAGTAATTTTTGGTACACATTTTCCCACAGGTTACTGAGTACAGGATATTTATAGCATTGATGAATCTTATTACCTGGGTGTTAGAGTAACTGTTGAAACATTTATGAAAAAGGGCTTTAAGATAAATGTATAGGTCTTACAAATGTTATATAAATTCTGCATAAACCCTAGCATTTGGGTGTACTGAAGAATGTGTAAGCTTTCTGGTTGGTCTGAACAATTCTCATTGCAGGACATTATTACTAGGACTTACCATTTTTCCTCTTTGTGTAGTTGCAGAAACTGTTTGTTAAAGCACACTCTGCTTTCTGTGTTATTGTGCCAGCTTCCACCTCATTTTCAGTGTCTATAGCAACACTGTTTCTCAGCAACTGGGAGATGCTTAGTAAAGGCCTCTCGATTTAGAAATATTGCACTCCAACCATAAGAAAAAAATTGCTTTGAAATAAAGATCAAAGAAGGGTTATCTTTAATAATTCAGGATATTTATTACTAATTAATTAGTGTTCTCTGTTTTGACTGCTTAGACAATTACCTGATACTTTGATCTGGGCCTTTGCCACGCATTTGTTGTGAACAGCATTCATTTAAAAGCAAAACCTGTGTCTTGAAGTCAACTTTTAAGTGCTATAAAACTCCTGAACTTCTCTGACAGTGTTGTCTGACTTCTGGGTCTTTAGTAAGTAGCTGAGAGAAAGGTAAGGTATGCTGTTACTGTCTTTAAGAGGAGACAATAATTTTGGCCTTTGAACACAACATAGAATGTTTTCAGCCTTCACAGGAAACAAAAGTAATTGTAGTTTATTTTAGGCATGTCATATGTTATCTGATTTTGAAAGAAGAGAGGCCTCTGTGATCTAGTCAGTTGATCTATTGGGAGATTTCTGCCTTACTTGATCTGGTTTGTCTTTCTCTCTACTTTAACTAAATTATGTAGCATGATTAAATATGCATTTTATTTGCTAAAGTACATATTCTGAGAACCTGTATAGGCAAAAAAAATACATATAAGTAATCAAACATGTTACTTTTCTTGCATATTCCAATCGGATTCAAGAATAAGGCTACTCTTGTTCTGCATGTAAGAGTATTTGTGTTAATGTATTGGGGTTTATAATTGTAAAAACTTATTTTGTGTACATTTCTAATTAATTTTAAAATTATTTTTTGTTTTGGGGAAGTGTTTTTTATTATTAATAAAGGTCACATGTAGCTGAACTACAACACACTGACTGAAATAGTGTATCGATGAGCAGAGTTAGTTCAGATTTGATGGCAGGCAGATACTGCTTCTACTGTCATGGTATGTTCGTTATAAAGTAACTAACACTGAAGTAGATCCTGTTCATTTCACCCAAGCACTCCTACTGCAGTCAAGATCTGGAGTCTCCATACAGTTTTGTATATAGAAATGTAGACTGTACCTATGTTAATAATGCCTTTCGTAACTTTTTGGAGGGAGAGTTAATGGGTATGATGTT